AATGATTTAACCCTAGAATCCATGAGAGGGGTCGATTTCGACCCCAGGCAAACTTTAAAAAAAGAGGTTTTTGCTGATTTTCTGCATTTTTCGGTCTTTAAATGGCTTTTTTCACTAACTAAACTTGAGTAAAATTAAATTTACCGTATACCATTCTCTTCGTTATTAAAGAACGAAGAAATTCATGTAGGTTTAAAGGTCCTTTATTTCTGTAGGACCGGTTTTACGATCAAATAAAGCGTGGGGTCGATATTGCCCCCAGTCATGGATTAGAAGGTCAAAAAAATGATACATGGATTCTAGGGTTAATTGACGTTGAATGATTATCGTTTACAATAATACGAAACAACACAATTAAATCATGAAGATCTTAACTTAAGACTATTAATTTTCATTATATTTTATTATCGATAATTTTCACACATATGCGTGTATTATTACCTTTTCATTTTAAATAGAAATTATTGTAGTAGGAAAAGAGACAGACGCGGAGTCTTCTCGTTCGAACGAAGACGCGGTAGAACAGGTGAATGTATACATACATGTAACATGTGAATTGCGTGTGTTTAGGCGTGATCGCCTAGTGAGGTCAAGGAATCTTCTATTGACCTCGTCGCTAAGCGATCACGCCTAAACACACGCAATTCACGTGCTACATGTAATTATTCACCTCGCGTCCTCGTCCGAACGAGAAGACTAAGATAATAATATTTCTTCAGGCAATGACAACTTACAACAACTTACGAAGACGAGGGTCTCCCTTATCGTCTTTATCCCCTCGTGAGATATCGTCCACGTACTTAGTCTATCGGGTAAACGCGACGCGGCACGCGGGGCACCGCCGCCGTCGAACAGGTGGACCCTCGGAGATCGTAGTACACGGGGGATGGGCGGCGAGGAGGGAAAGAGAGCCAGAGAGACAAGTTAAATAGTACTACACTCGCGCGAGTATTATTCACACGGTAGAAAAAACAGGCCATACACAACACACATACGATGGGCTGTGTTATCTTACAATGGCTGTGTTCAACGTTTAACAGGAGCCTGGAAGGAGCTCGTCTCGATGATAGTTCTTGCACACAGGACGATAGGACACGGAATGACGGAAACGGCGGGAAACGGTTGCCGGTTGCCGCACGGCAAGAAGCGACATGGTAGCCAATCAACATGTCGCTTTCTCAAGCACGACCACTCACTGACCGGCTAAGTAGCAATAGAATGTGATTGGTTCTTATCTTTGGATCCAACCAATCACACGTTGGTTACCGCGTCGCTTCTAGGGTGCGTTCGGGGAGACTAGGGCCGGTATTCATAAAGACCGTCTTAAGTTCAATCTTAAGATGTCATTAACCAATCACAGAGCCGTATTAGCGTCTTAAGACATTACTTAGACGATCTTGAAGACTATGAATACCGGCCTAGGGATCCTCTGGAGGATCCCTACTGTCGGCCCGGCGCGGACGCCCGGGGCCTGGGTCACAGAATCTGTGTATGTACATACATATATACTTTACGGAACGGTAAGAAAATTAAAAAGATTAGTAATAATTTATGAAAATATAGCTTTTGTGTCAGATCAACTTCTTTACACATTTTTTTTCAACCAGCTGGGACAAAATACGAAATTTAAAATTGTAAATATATATATAATATTATGCACAATCGCAGAGAATTAATCAATTTATTAAATTGTAACTATGTAAGTTGTATTATTCGACCAATAAAGATATAAATTATATTATTTATACCATTTTTTTATACCTCGGTAAAAAATTCGCTTTCGTCGGCTGCATTCGGGGAGCGCGCTATTAGCGCTATTTGCTTATTCTATCCTTTTGTTTTACATTTAATGAGCGATAAAGATAGAATGATACAATAGCGCTAATAGCACGCTCTCCGAATGCAGCCGTCATCTGACGTGATCTGACGCATGCGCGAAAGATCCTTCTCTTATTTGGGATAAGAAAATAGTGCGGAAGTTTATCTGCACCTGCACAATGGGTGGCGTTACCGCGTGTGTTATCTTCATGCTCACGTGGACGCAGTGTTAAAAGAAAGGTATGTGTAATAATGAGACATAGCGTAACTTAAAAGAAACTAAAAAGTTTTGCGATCTGATAATTTATCTACTCGATTGATTCCTCACGTAACATTTTGCATTAACAACTCAACGTAATATATACCACGATCTAACCTATCCCTGGCTGGATATCACTTTTGCCGGAAGAGAAAAGAATGAGTGGATCAATTAAAGTGATATTTAATTTTATTAAAAGAAATTGATAAAGTTATTTCATTTTTATTCAGAAATTGCAGTCATTAAATATAGTCACAAAAATGTATGTGTTGTATAATCTAATAGACGGGTTGAAAGCATCTTACACCGACCGGTGAAAGATGGGCAAAAGAAATCATTTTGCTGGTTTATTTTTGATAAACTTTGCTGGACTGTTCTAACTTAACATTTAAAAAATACGAAATCAGTCTAATTGTGCTCGTGTTAACATTTATCACGATTATCAGGTAATATGGAGTCAGTGTCAGCCTTCTCGGTATATGCAGGAAAACGTAAGAACACGGAACAGTTGGTGAGCGGAAAGATAAAGAAACGGAACTTGCAGAAAGTTTCCAATAAAAAGAGCAGAAAACAGAAAGATGTTAAACAAACGGACAACGCGAACCAACAGATGCAACGTAAAGGTACCTTGAATATTTTTGCGAAGGACAAAGCCAGCTGAAAAAGATTGTTTAATAACTTAATGTAACTCCTTGTCTGTTGCAGATAAAAAGATAAAATCCACAAGAAAATTGAATGATGTCAATAAAGCAAAATCAAACAAGATAAATAACATTCGAAATACGCATAGAAAATTGAAATTAAAAGCAATAAAGGAACGGAAAAAGAAAAATAAAAAGAATAATTCTGTCAAAAGAGAACCTATTCAGACTGACAAGATATTGACAAGGGATATTGAAATAGGAAACAGTGACAACGATTCAAGTGATACAAATTGTACAAGTCCTTTAGGTAATGCAAGTAATGAAATAAATGAAAAATATGACGATGATCAAAATCTTAATGAATTAAAAGCAACAAAGGAACGGAGAAAGAAAAGTAGAAAGAATTCTGTCAAAAGAGAAGCTACTCAGATTAACAAGATATTGACAAAGGATGTTGAAATGGGAAACGGTGAGAGCGATTTAAATGATACAAATTGTACGAGTTCTTTAAACAATGAGATAAATGAAGAAGATGATGATGATCACAATCCTATTGAATTCAGTCGACATTTATTCCAGTGGTTGTTGCAGCCTATAAATATAGAAACCTTCTTCAAGTAAGTTGAAATCGATAATTATATACGTTTTGTTATGCATTAATGTTGATTCTTTTTTTTTTTTTTTTTCATTTAAATCAGAAAAAATTGGGAAAAGACTCCGTTGTACGTGAAAAGGGATATGCCTAATTTTTATAAGCACCTTGTATCGACGCCTTTATTGGACCAAGTGTTGAGAAAGAATCATATTTTATTCACCAAAAATATTGACATAACATCCTACTCTGATGGAGTGAGAGAGACTCACAACCCTCCCGGTCGCGCTTTGCCGAGCGTTGTTTGGGACTATTATCAGAATAAGTGCTCCATAAGGATGTTAAATCCTCAAACATTTATACCCGCGATACACGCGATGAATGGTAAAAAAATACAATGCAGTTATACTCTTACAATTTTTTTATAATTCTTTTTTAATTTGTATGACTCATTTCGCAGCTACCCTCCAAGAATTCTTCGGCTGTTTCGTTGGCGCCAATTTATATCTCACACCACCTAATAGCCAAGGTTTCGCGCCTCATTACGACGACGTAGAAGCATTTATATTCCAAATCGAGGGTCAAAAGAGGTGGAGGCTGTACAAGCCACTTAATGAGAACGAATTTTTACCGAGGTACTCTTCTAAGAACTTTGATCAGTCGGAGATCGGAGAGCCTATACTGGACACAATTGTCAAAGCTGGGGATTTGTTGTATCTACCGCGGGGAACCATCCACCAAGGAATGACTCTCGAAGATACTCACAGCTTGCACATCACGTTAAGTGTGTATCAAAAAAACAGTTGGGTCGACTTGCTTGAGAAAGCGCTTCCACAGGCTCTGCAGCGAGCTGCCGAAAACGATAGCCGTTTTCGTCAGGGGCTGCCCCTGAATTATTTGAAATACGTCGGCACTGGGTGTAACACGAATGACCGAAAGGATGTTTTTAAGAACAATATTAAGAATTTGATTGGTCTACTGCTCGAACATATTGATGTTGATAACGCGGCCGATTTGATGGCCAAAGACCACATCCACGATTTTCTACCTCCTTTTCTGATGAAGAAGGAACGGAAGTGTACAGTGGCGGAAGACGGTGAGATTATGACCAACGACGGGGTCGTTAAGAACTGCGCGGAAATACTGCCTGAGACAAGGATACGTTTGTTAAGATTGCATTGCATGAGGTGAGTTATAGAGTTAATTTCTAATTTATTCTGAAAAGCGAGTTCAAGATAGGACGATAATAACTGCATTACTGTATTATTAGGTTAATAAAAGAAGATACATATAGGATATATTATTCCACCGAAAATTCGAAAGAATATCACGAATATGAGCCGCAGTTTTTGGAAGTTGACGAAAAATATGTTCCCGGAATTAAGAAAATGATAATAACCTACCCTAATTTTATATCTGTGAAGGAACTGCCAATAGAAGATGACGAAGAGAAGGTAATAAAGCATATATTGTTTACGATATTTTATTAAATGTTGAGTATACGATGTTATCTTGCGACTAATGTAACTGAATATATTATAGATCCAAATAGTGAAGGATCTCTGGGAAAAGGGTTTAATCTTAACGGAGGAGCCTCTGTGTTGACCTACAAATTAATTTTGTTAAGAAGAATAAATAAGCCAAAAGCCAGAACTATACGAAGCTGTTCATACAAATGTCTGCAATATATGTTACATAGGTAATTTATTTGCTCCGAAAATAAAGTTTTGATTCAGCATTCGCACGAAACGGATAATAGCTATGTGTATTACATAGAAAATTGTGTACAATAGTTCTGTGTCATGATACTGAATATCAGTAGTATAATATTGATAGTTGATTCCTATTTTGTAATTCGTATTAGCTCTTGCAATATATTTTGCATTTTATATTCTCTTTGCGTATATATGATGGTTCTTAATTATATATCATAATATTCAGGAGATGGAACTTTTTAAATTTTACGACATAAAGGTTATACGATATACATTCTTTATTCATATCATTACTTGTATTATTTGATTGCAATTTTATAGTAAACCGTTTTTTACTTTCTGTTTTTCATTATCTGTTCAAATATTTTTTGTTAATACTTTTTGAATAGTTTTTCGCTCTAGGATTTCTTTTATTTTTTTTTAAATCATTTTTTCATCGCTTTTAAATTCAATTTTACGTCACAAGATATTGGTATATAATTAAAAACCACCACCTGTGATTCAAGTCCGTGTTCAAATCTAAAATCTTCACGTTCCGATTCTGAGCTTGTTGCGTTTTTCTTGTGTGACATGATCCCTCTGTCTTCCCAATACATACTCGACATATTCTAAATATCCGTCGTTGTTTAAATCATCCTCTTCCAACACTTTGTCTATTAGCCCTAAGGCAAGATAGAAATTAGATCATTTTACTTAAAAAAGTATCGGCGTAATGTATGTCTTTTCTAACTGTTGAATTTCATTTAGACGTACCTACGATCCAGTCTTGATCCGATTGCATCGCATCTTCCTCGTCAGAGTATGCTGAACTCTCGTGCAAAGAATGTTGAAGAGCGTGAAGAATTTCTAATCCGTCTAACTTTGTATTATTGTCGACATCGTGAATCCTATAATTACGAAATTATATTAGCGATACGTGAACGGTTTGATAAACATGTATAAACGAGAGGCGATCTCTGATGTTACAAACGTACTGAAAATAGTGGAACTCTATTTCTTGTTCAGTCATTTTCGAAAAATCGAGTTGATCGGCCATGGAACCCATATCTTCCTTCAGATGTCTAAAGTCATGAGATAAAGTCACGAATTACATTTACATGAATATTAAATTGGGGATATATTTCGGTACTTGAATATCGCTGTAATCGGCAATTATCTTTAAAATTATTGATACGTCAAAATATTTTATATACCTACATATAAATGTATAAAGGAATTAACTACTATAAAGCAGCAAGTTTATTTAGAGAATAAGTTAGTTTGCTTTAATTGTGTAATTTAAATCTCTCACGTTGCATCGTGAAGGAGTTCGGCGTCCTGCGTCAATTTCACGTCGTTCTGCGGTGCGTGATGATGATGGGACACGCTGCTCTTTGGATGATGGGGTCCACGAAAGTGGCCGGTCGCTAGGCCGAGGTAAAAGCTGATTAAAAATATTGTCCCCATTTCGCTATCTGAAACAAATTGTCGTCGATGATGATATTTCACCCTCCGTTACATTAAGTATAAACGTTTTGGAGAAACTTAACGACATGATACGAGTCTCATAAACTTTCAAACAAATTTAAGTAAGATATTAGTTTGAGAATTGCATTTCGCGGTGGTTTGTACACGATCGGGTGTGTGCGATTCGGAAAGAGCGGTGATGACTGCCGGGGGGCGTCTCCACTCCGCGACATTCCGTACGGTGCCCATCGACAATGGGACCTGCTGGGACATGTTCATCGGGTGTGTCGCCGTGTGTGGAGAGTGCCCGCTTCTTCCGAGGGTCGAACACCCCGTCGGCCAGCGACAGATGGGCGGTAGAGGGGGTCCACGGTAATTATTATGCGATTACCCACAAGCCCATTGATTTAGATTGGACCCCAGGGGGGCGAGCTGCGCGATCGCGGGGCCCATCCCGATTTGTTACAAGACCAAGCTCGAAAGTGCTCGACGTGGTACGTTCAGCGAGATTTCCGCGCCCTTAAGACGATTCGGTTCGCGATATTTATTTTATTTCAGCATTTATTCGAGAATGGCGAATAATAAAAGATAAGGGATATTTCCACTCTCGCGTTTTACGCATCAGAATAACATTTAAAATATATTTCTTGTTAATAAAACACTTATTTGTGACAACTATTGAAGCTAGTCATTGCAATACTCGCAATATCATTCTTATTCTGTGTCTGGAAAAAAAAGCGGGAACGAAGGGGACAAGTACCGATGTATGTAGGTGTTAAAAGACACACAAGGCCGACACGAATACGGGGTACTTAGGAATCAATTTTATATAGGCTTACGGTGATCTCGAAGCGAGAATGCATATGTTAAGGGGAGAGCGGGGGAGTCCCCCGGGGGTTTTCGATGCGCGAGCGGACCCGGGGGGGTCTTCGACGAACCCCAATCCCGCGTCCGCCTCTATTTCTCTCTCTCTTTCTCTCGGGGTGTCGAAATCTATAAATAATTTATATCATTTGGTCCATTCACGACGGGAGAGCCCATATGTACCTGTGTCGCCTTACAGGGGACCTGCGCCTACTCGAGATTCTCCTCCCCGATCGTCGGGATCGGCGACGATCTCCCGTCAACCGGTGCGTTACGAGTACACGAGTGAGTTTACAGATTTGATGCCGATCGCTCGGTCATGGAGCGAGATTGGCGTATTCGCGTATACAGGTGTTAACGAGACAATAACGCGAACTTGGTATTTTTTACGTCTTTTTCGCACATTTGTTTTATTTATCTGTCCTTCCACCCAGGTATAGCAGAGTGACGTCAAATGACAGATTATTAACGTTTTAATGACGTCTGTAACGTCAATAATACGTCATTAAGGCGTCTTTAGATGTCATCCTGCTACCTGCATAGTTTTCGGAAGAGCTTAAAGTAGGCCAAGACGTTCCATTAATCTCAGAGTGGTATTTTCTGCCTTTCATTAATATCTTGTGGGATTTAACGATACCCACGTCGCACAAATTTCCGAGGGAATTAACTTTGATAGAAACAATCTAGACGAGGAAATCGCTATTTCGCTGCTGATGCAACTCGGCTTTAGGCTCGGAGCGATAAAATTAGTATGTTATTAATAAAGCTAAAATGTCATTGTACAACACGCATAAATATAATATTGTCATTATATGCCGCGTAATTGCATATTAATACTCGTACATTATATTTATTTATGTATCAAATTGTTAAATCTGTTCGAATACATTGCATTTATATATCTGTACCTTAGAGATAAAGAATCGTATATCTCCATTATTAATATAAATTAGAAAAAACAGGTTTAAAGTTTATTATTTCTATGAAAATTTCCAATATGACTTTTTCTGAACATTGTATCTTAGGAACTGGTAATGAAAATATAAAACCTTTTACTATTATATATACAATTCAAGTTCCTGGTATATTGAAAAAAATAAATTAACTATCTTGATAAAAACTGGAAGTATAACAAATCTTTATCTGTAAGGTACATATACATATCGCACCTCGAGAAGAATACTGTCACAATTAAAAAAAAACTTCGATTTTGAGTTAAGCTCATAAAAAGTACGCCAAAAATGTTACTTATGTGTTATAATAGTGCCACAAGTCTATATAGACCTCTTCGAGAAACAGTATAAGTTTCATTATAACAAAATATTGCGTTAATTATCTCACAATTAAAAAAAATTGAATTATTTGTTTTTCCTCTTTCCTGAAAATCGTGAATTGAGTTGTGACAGTATATTCTTCTCGGGTGATCGCGATATATACGATACGATTTAAAATACGTCAAGCATATTATTATTCGCGACATGTATTTGACATTGTCCAAGTGTGATTTGTATTCGTGATTAGTTTATCAGTATCGGGGCGAAATCGGACATATGTCTCCGCAATACGCAAAACCATCGCGAAACCCGACGTGTTTCCGCGTTTCTCGGCAACGATCCTCTAGCCGTTGGGCATCCGCTGGTCATGACTATCTGCGGGTATCTCGCGTCTCGCTAGGCTGGAGGCTACCCTTCGCGGAGGGTAGTCGCCACCCCCCGGATAGATGGAGCGCTAGGTCGGTGGTCTTATAACCTGAGCTCTCCTCTCTCACCCTTGGAATCTCGTGGCGCAGGTGACGAACGGCCTGGCATTTTACATTTTACCCTTTACCTTGTCTTGGACGTCTCGCGGCGGTGCGTCGATCGACCCGGCCGGCGATGGATCCGACCCCGCCCGCGAAGATCGACTGCTCGATCCACCTTCCGTTCTTTCTCTCTCTCTCTCTCCCTCTCTCTTGATCCCCTGCGCGATTCCACGAGAATCCTCGACTTGATCGGCGTGAAGCGCGCGCGACGCTTATCGACGTTTTTCCAGGCGGAGTTTGCGTGCTGGACGAGTTGCTCCGAACGCACGGCCGCGCTCTCTTTGAGCGGGCTCCTCTCGTTTGGTTTTCGTCCAAATCCCTGCGAAAAGTCGGCTAATCCGATCATCTCGCTTCTTTTGCCGCGCGGAATAAGCGCGCGGATTACTCCGCGCGGCTCACGCCGCGCCAGGCGTCCACCGTCCAGGAAGGACCCGGGGAGCCTGAAATTCTTCGGGAATTTTCCCCGTGTAGAGAGAGGAATCGGGGAATTATCAGGGAATTTTACCGGAACTCAGGGAATTTCTGTCGAAATCATCCCCTCGGCGATCTTGCCTTTATCTTGCGAGAAAAAGAACGATCGGAGGTCGGTCAAATTAACAGTTAGACCCTGCCTTGTTCAGCATATATTTATTTTCAACGTCTTTGCGAGAGAGTTGAATCAATTAAAATGTATTCTAGATATATTTTCTATTTTAAAAATATATTCTATCTAGAGAAAATATATATATTTAATTATATATTTTTAAAATATATTTTAGATATATTTTTTATTCACATAAACACATAAAAGCTCTCATACGCACGGTGCGACCTTTATATCTGGTTCTATTTCTTGAAAAAGGGAGCAAAATTTGTATGCTAAATGAGATACCATTCTATAGAAATTTTTCCATCTTTTTCAAATCTATTATTTGACACTTTGAGTGACCCTTCATTTTCTTTTCCGCATGATTGTAAGCGCGACGAAATCCACGCAGTGACTAAATCTGTCCTCAATTTGCATGCAAAAGTGCTTTAATTTTGCCTGGAAATATGAACGAGAATGTCTGGAAATTAGGGAATTCTCCGAGAGATTTTTTCGCGCCCCTTTCACGTGTGGATATATAGCCAATAACTACTTACGCAGAGCTGTAATATTACATTTACACAAATTTAGACGAAATCACGGCAGTACACCGGCGGTGATATTTCTGCTATTACTCGCGGTTCGGTCCCCTTCATTCCGCACGGCAATAACTGAAAGCTCCGCGTGCGGAAACTCGGCCTTTTGTTATACATTATTACGCAACTGTTTCTGTACGGCGCGGGGTATCCGGTGAATACACATTTTTCGGACATTAAAACGCTGCGTGTATCTACGTTTGTGTATAACGGCACAAATAATGACAATATTTATTAATATCGTCGTTATTTATGCGCTGTATATACGAAACGCATGTTTTACGCGAAAGGTATAACAACAGGATCGCGATTGTACCGCCAGAAATCGTGATGCAGCTTCGCTGGATTTCTGCCGTTGATCTGCCATTATATTTCGTTAATAAATTTGGTTAGATTTTTCGAACCCGAAATTATTTTATGCGATAAAGATCAAGATTCTATTTGCTATTATTGTAATCGACGAGATCGACGAGGCTTGCGTATAGAAACGCGAAAAAGAAAATCGATTTTTGACCGACATATCTGCAAGTGGACGTCTATCAATGTATATCTCTGATAGTTATACATAGTTTGCTTGTTATGAAGAAAACATCAGGCATTGATCCATCAGAGATCCGTTTCATCAAATCGCTGTTATCATAACGAAATCGCGAGGCGATGCGAGTTTAAGGGGTGCTTCGTCGCGGCTACAAATTTGAGTTGACCGAACTAGAATTTTTGAGGAGAGTCGATGGAGGGTTGGAGAAAGCGAAGAAAAGGAGGGAAACGGAGGAAAAAGGAGAAAGAGAACATCACGCAGATGCGGCGTTCGAAAGGGCGCGAGGGAGAAAGAGCGAGAAAAAGAGAGAGAGAGAGAGACAAAAAGAGAGAAGGCGGGAGAAGAACAGAGGGTGTGCGTATTTGAGGATCGAAGAGGGACGGAGATAAACTGCGGGGGGTCTGAGGGAGACGCGGGGGTGGCGTAGGAACGACGGGGAAGAGGGAAAAGGACGAGGAAGAGAGAGAGAGACAGCGAGAGAGAAGGACAGAGAGACGTGGATAGAGGAGAGAGCGAGAGAGAGAGAAAGAGAGAGAGGGCGAGTGGGATAGTGCACGGATGGGTCTCCGGTTGCCATGGCGACCATCGTAGCCTAAAGCTATGCTTTTATTGATTCCAAGCCGCAAACAATGTGCAGGAGTGGATGTTTCGCTCTGTTCTCTCTCTATCCGTCTGGATAGTGAGGTATTAACGCACCCCGAAATACCGATACCCATGGGCACGTGCCCCAGAAAAGCGGGGCCGTCTCGTCCCCCCCCCCCCCCCCCCCGCGCTTTCCTTCCCCCTCCTTCCCCTCCTCACCACCGGTTTTCCCCCCCGTTCCGTCCCCCTTTCCTCCCTCCCTCCCTCCCGCCCTCGTCCCGCACGGAGTGCCCTGCGATTAATTCAGCATCAGTCTCTCGATATGCACAGTTCGCCGTTGCATTAAAATACACGCGACTTCAAAGCGCGCCCCGCCGACTATAACGCAACGCGACCCGACGTCAAAGGTTACGTCGGACTGCATCTTCCAGTCCCGCGTTTGCTCCCCCCCCCCCCCCCCCCCCCCCCCCGGTCCCGAATTTTTCGGGGGTGCATCTCGCGTCACCGTGCTCCCCCGTATGCATATAATCGCACCGTGCTCCCCCGCTTATAATCGATCGTAATCGCGATTAATTCTGGTACCGTTCTGGATACCACTTTCACATCTCGACCAACGAAGAAATCTATTTTACATATTAATAATTCCATGTTGAATGTCAGTTAATTAATAGGCCTAGCGCGATATTCGACTGGAGTTGTTTCGCATTTTCGATATGAGATATATTTAATAAAATTGTTGTTAAATTGAAATTTTTTTTACTGGACTACTCTTGTACGTTTTATGTGGTTTATACCGCGTGAACTTATGTAGATAATGTTATCTGGCGTTGAAATATTGGTAAAAAATTATGGGAACTTGGATTCCTGTAACTTTGACGTTAGTTACGACGCGCGCGGGGAACACATGGACATTCAGGAGAGAATTGACAACACAAACTACAGGTAAATCGGTGCGCAGCCGATTGAGACTAACGTCGACAGCTGCGACGAGGCGCAGAGGGAGAAGGAAGAGATCGATTGGAAAACACTCCTTTCTTCCTCACGGAGGCTATCTTTTGAAAATCGAATCAATAACAATGAGCGAAACTAGCCATGCGAAAGTCAGATCGCGATTGAATTTTCTACTCGATTACTGCGAAGAAAAGGACCACCCACCGCGATTTCTCCATGAACGGCTTACCGCCCACGGATGCGTTTTAATCGCGCGATTCCCGGAATGTTAGATCGAGATTAATAAAATTTCAAGTAATGAAATAACCTTAAATAAATTTATCTCTCTTCGGATTTACGTGGAAATTGATTTCTACACAAACCCTCTATTATTACCCGCGTTATTACCACTATCATTTGTAATAATAGATGTAATATATTATCGGAAAGTAGCATGAGGTAGAATTTCCACGATAATCTTCACGTCATTCTCGACATTTTGTCGGATGAAAGAGTTATTAAGTTTTATATAAAATTATTTTTAAATAATATTTAGCGATTGTATTTATTTGATACAAATTGATTTGCAAAAGCCTATAATCTCCGTGATTGATCAAGATTATTTCAGAAATTTGTACGTCATTTTACTTACAAAGTAGGAACGCTATATTTCGCGATATTTAAATGTGAGCTCTAGTGTAATGCAGAAAGCAGAACATTCTGCCGAACGGAGATTCCGTTGTAATTTTAACTACTCATTATCTTCATCCTTCCTCCGAGCGGCAATCTATCTTTGCGAAAATTCCGGTTATCATTGCTCGAGTTTGTTTAAGTTCGGCTAACAACTGCAGTTTCAAACTATTCAATTAGGAGAGATGTAAGGAGCCTTTGATGAGATATTTCCAGTAATCGCGAGCGGAATATAATGCGCGTTCATTTAATCAGCGGATCATTTATGGGTTTTTCCATATTGGATTTCGATTGCTCGACAAACTGATGCGCGCGGGACATGAAACGTCGAGATGTCTATCACTGAGAATCGTTAAAAAAAATCTGTAAAATTGATTCGTGACTAATTAGTCGTGACAGGAAAACAAAGGAAGAAAGCTGAAGCAGAAGGAGGGTTGTAGGGCGTACGAAGTCGTAGTGAAGTCGCTCTTCGATTATCTTCGCGTATCGGCCTTCGCAGACGTGCATTTGCGTGCTTCGCACTCCGGCTTACCTGTTGACTGTCTTACCTCCCGAAGGAACCCAAACCACCGAGAGTATGTTTTGCCAAGAGAACTTCTCTAAAAAAAAATATAGCCGTTCGGAATCGGCGTTAAACTGTAGGTCCCATATACAATATGTATAATCTACGTGCGCAACACATGTATATGCAATCGCTCAAGTCCACAAAAATAACGTTATTAAAATAAGAATCACCAAGGCAGCAGAAAAGCGATTCTCGGTCGCCTTGGTGATTCTTATTTTAATAACGGTATTTTTGTGGACTTGAGCGATTGCATATACATGTGTTGCACACGTAGATTGTACATATTGTATATAGGATCTGCAGTTTAACGCCGATTTCGAACGGCTATATTTTTTTAGAGAAGTTTCTCTTGGCATAACCTACTCTCGGTGGTTTGCCATTGCCTTCCGAGAGGAGAACGAGCAAATATAATTTTTCTAGCTCTACCGGGAATCGAACCCGGGACCTTTGGCTCATTAGACCAGTGCGCTGTCTACTAGGCCACGCTCGTCCTCTGCTTGCTGTTGAACTGGGATCGGGGTCCGTCGCTCGACGTTCAATATTTGTTTTCAACGTCGCGCGCCATTCGACGATAATATTTCTTTTTTTTTTTTCGCCCGAGAAAAATATCGCGCTGGTTAGCGCGGTCGGCATTGTTTTGCGCGCGCTTTCGCATGCGCGTCCATGTGCGCGTCCCTTTTTCCCTCCTCTGCCCTCCACGCTCCCCTCGGTTTTTTTTTATTTTCGCGGCAATCGCTCGATCA